CTGGTAAAAAATAAATTATTTTGGTCATCATTACTGCTTTTAATTTATCTGAATTGGCCAGGAATCCCCTGTCAAAACAGTTGTGTTGGAAGGAAACAGTTAACTGACTCTATAGCATGTTTTATTTGCCTATGTGGATGAATTATACTGAAGGTCCAGATGAGTAAACATAATTCATATTCATTCATTCATTCATTCATTCATTCATTCATTCATTCATTCATTCATTCATTCATTTTATATAGCTTCCCATTCAACATATGACTTGGGGAGGTATACAGAATTAAAAACAACCAACATCTGACAAATAATATAATAAAACATTGCACCAGAAGCAATTCAAACAAACAGAAAACAATCAAGATGGGCTCGAAAAACTCCTGTCCTTGTGTCTGAAGTCAGATCTTCAGAGCCTTTAGGAAGGCAGACAGAGCTTGAGACCATCTGGATCTCTAGTCCATAGAGCAGGCATGGCAACAGAGAAGTCATGTCTCCTGTCCAACCAGATGATACTGCTTAAATGATGGGACCCAGAGCATCCCAATCCTGTCAGATCCTATCAGATAGACAGAAATAATTGGAGATAGACAGCCCCATAACCAGGCCCTGTACCACGAAGGGCTTTATAGATGATAATCAACATCTTCAATTGCACCCAGAAGCCCACTGGCAATCAGTGAAGCTCACAAAGTAGTGGTTTTACATAGGGAATTGTGTTCATAAGTACTCATGCTGCTGCATTCTAGTTCAGTTTTAGTTTCTGAGTGGTTTTCAAGGGCAACCCCATGTACAGTATGTTGTGGTAATCCAAATGAGAAGTGACCAAGGTGTAAGCAATGGTGAGTCAGGCCTCCCAGTCCAGAGATGTATGCAGTTGGTATACAAGATGAATTTGTGCAAAGGCCCTTCAAGCCACAGTTGTCACCTTCTCTTGCTGTGTCTGGGAGGAGCCCAAGTTGTGTCTATTTGGGCACAATCTCCTGATCCAAGCGTCCCCCAAACCTACAGCCACTCAGTCTTGCTAGATTGAGTCTGAGCCTATTATTCCCAATTCAGACACTCATAGCCTCCAGACACTGAGATAGAACTTCAGCATCGTGACTTGACTAGCAAAGGGCTGAGATATGTAATTGGATATCATCAGCATACTGATGATACCTAACCCCATGCCAAAGGATTATCTCATGCAGTAGCCTCATTGAGATGTCAAACAGAAACAGGGAGAGAATCCAGCCCTGAGGCATCCCACAAAGCAAAGGCCAAAGACCAGAAATCTCCCCCACCATCAACACTGATTGGAACTGGCTCTTGAGAAAGTAGGAGAACCACTGCACCATCGTGCCACCCACTCTCAATTCTGTAAGGAAGATGACCTGACACAGCCATTACCAAAGTGACAAAGGGAAAAACATGGCTTAAGTGCAAAACAAGAAAAAGGCATGCACAAAAAACTCAGGCAGACAGCTTCCTAATTCACATGAGTATAAGGGGGGAGGGGAGTAAAAAACAGACTTTACCACCACTGTGAAAACCTTACTGAAGGTTTCTAGCCATATTCTGTCAGATTCCGTTACTATAGACAATATTAATGAATGTAGTTTTAGCCTCAGTGTGGAGTTGATTTCTTGGTTTGGTCTACGTAGTGGGGCGGACAGTATCAAAGGCTACCAAGAGATCAAGAAGGGCCAGCGTGGATGCACCATCCCCATCCCAGTGCACCATAAGTCATTTACAAGTGCAATCAATGCTGTTTCAGTACTGTGTTCAGGTCTGAAACCTGATTGATTTCCTTCACAGACCTTTGAAGGGGTGGCCTCAGAGCCTTCTGAAGGGAGGTACAGCCTGACCACCTTCTCAACAACCTCCCCCAGTAAAATTTTGGAGATAGATCATATATTGTCTAGCACTCTTAGGTTTAACAATGGCTTCTTGAGGAAGGGGTGAACTAATGTCTCCTTAAGTGTAGGCAGAACCACCCCGTTACTCAAGGATGAATTCACCACTGCTTGGACCCAACCCAACATCACCTCAGGGAGGCCTTAACCAACCAAGAGGGGCATGGATCTAGTGAACAGCTCCCATTTCCAAGGACCATGTAGACTTCCTTAGGATCAACAGGCCCAAGCATTTCCCTGATAAGCATTCCAGAATGTACCTCAACCAACACAGTCCAGTTCAGAGTGAATTCAAGCAACTTAATCCAATAGATGTCTTGAATAATCCTCACAACAGCCCTTTAGATGGTCTTTATCCTTCCCTAAGAGGGACCCTGTTATATTATACAGGACCATCAGTTGGCAATCCACAGATGCAATAGCAGTAGAAAAATAACTATATTTTGCCTCTCTTATCACTACTGTTTAAACCTTAAACATGTTCTGTCAGATTTGCTCTTTGTCTTTGTCTAGGCAACTCTTCTGCCATTTCATCTCTCAGAATTGCACTGAAATCCAGGGGTGAAGATAGAGGCCATGCAGTCAAAATTCAGTAAGAGGCCACTGCCACCTTTTCATTCCAAGAGGTAATTAAAATCTCAGTCAAATTATGATCCTCAGAAACTTCCCCAAGTGCCTTCGAAACCAGTGGAGTCCATCAGGTGCCTGTGGCACACCAACTGAATGAGTTCTAATTCCCTGCAATGGGGACCAGGTATGAAGAACTTCAAAACAATAAATCAAACAAGGGGCAAATAGTAACATTCTACACACACTCCAGATCATATTGCCTTTCTATTAAAAACTTTTGACACATTATCTAAGTACAGGATTAGAGTCACACATTTGTTTATTTGGAGAATTTGGGGTGCTATTTGGTTTGATTTCTTAATTAGAGAAATCTTTCTCCACCTGGAGAGATTATGAAAGGTTACCTGAATTAATGAATATTTGAAAAATAGATAATTCTGCCTATGATATATCAATCATTGGTGCTTTTTAGAATCAGGCTGAATGGTTGGAAGCATAATCATTTAAGAGGTAATTTAAGAGGACCTGGAAGAGGCCATTTGGGCACTTCTGTTTCTCTTGCCTTCAGCTCCTATCCACCTTTCCACATGGCCAGCGTTCTATCACCTATTTCAATGTTCCCCATCTTGATGACCTCTATGCATGCTAGCTGAGAATTCTAACAGCTGAGAATTCTGGGAGCTGTAGTCCTAAGCATATGGAAGGCATGATAGGAGGTCTTCAAAGAAAGACTAAGTTAACCATCTATTAGAGATGCTTTAGTGGATCTTGCACTGAGCGTGGACTGGTCGTTAGATGACCTTGAAAATCCCTTCCAATTCTAGGATTCTAGATTAGAGAAAGCTGAGCTATCCAAAATTGGAAAACTATGCTAGTAGTCTTAAACTGGATAGGTTCTTATTTTCTCTTGTTAGTCAGGCTGGACAATTTAAACAGAGTGACTTTTTGCACAGACACTAAATTTCCAATATGAATTAAATCTGAAATAAATAGCGACTCTGAATCCTGCTGAAAGATCTCAAATCCCAGGCCCATATAGTACTGCCAGTAATCAATACTGAGAAGTTTCTGATCTTCTTCTGCACTTTCCAGTATGTGCTAGGATTAGACTTCTCAGACACAAAGACTAATGAACCTGGAGGAGACAGATAGCTTTTCCAGGTGTTTTAAATGTGTGCTGAGCTAATAAAGGATTTCCAGACTAATTACAAATCAGGTTGTGGGGAGTCTGGGTATCTGTACTTGACGAGGCTGGAAATAGCAGTTGCTGGCACATACTCGCTTTATTCATTCTGGAACGTACTGTGAAGTGTGAAGATAATGGTGCTAGCTGAACTCCTGAATACAGCTCTTGTAATATGACTGCATGAGCCTCTCATGCACTGAGACAGTCTCCTTGCCTGTTAATTTTCTTCTTGGAACCAGAATGAGTTTAATTGAAATTGCCTTTTGGGATTTTTGAAGACAAGGTTACACCCCAGTAAAGAATTGGGAGTGCAGTACATCCTAGGGTTCAATTCCAGTATTTAAACTGAAACAAGTTTTGACTTGGTTGTATTACTAAGCTGGAAAGTGAAAAGGAGAATCGTTTATAAAAACATGCAGTGTATGAAGTGCTCCTGATACTTAGAGACGAGGAAGTAATTTAGCTGTCTCTAAAACAAAACAACACAGAAGAGTTGACATATCAGCCCACAGCATGGCAAATTTAGGGAGCTTTTACAAGAATGTTAAAACAATATTAAAATATTCCACTTTTAGAACTGAGGAAACAGCTATGACTGAGAATACATATCGCCTATGTCCTGAAAATGAAATTTCTTTCTTTTCCTATATTGTGTGGCTTGTACATATCTTCAGTGCTGGCTTTGATATATATAATATGTAAGGATGTGTCTGAAGTATTCTTCTATATACTTTTAGAATCCAAAAAAGAGCACTCTCTAAATAGGGAAGTAGAAAGCTGTCTTAGATAGGATCTAGCTAGATGGACAGTTTGCATAACCTTCCCTAGCAAGTGTCCCAGCAAGTACCCCATTCCTACCACATTCTTGCAGAATGGGTAGGGTGATGTGTCAAATTATGACCCAATGTATTTGGAACGTGTCAAGTTGATGAAACCTGGTTTACCTAGACTGCAAATGTGATCCCAGGGGTCAGAGAGATTTTTCCTGACTCTACCTGGAGACGAGAGAGATGAACTTGGGAAATTTTGCTTCTGTTGCCAAGCAGCTCTAGGGCCACCCTCCTGGGAAGCTGTTAACCATTCTTTCAATGTGCTCATAGAACGTTCTCAGGCAGCTCCAGACATTTGGTTTTCTAAGTCTTAAACTTCTGTATTTATTTATTTATTTATTAGAAGTATTTCCATACTGCTCAGCTCAGACAACTCCTGGTGGTGCACAAAGATAAAAACATAATATATAACTCATCAAAATATATGGTAGACATAACACCCAATCCATCTATGCATCCTTTCCCCATGCTGAGGAAGGGTTTGAGAGGAGATTAATTAATTAATATTTATCTTTAATTTAACATTGCCTTTTCAAATGACTATCAGATGAGAGAAACAAAAATGCAACAATCTTTTTTAAAAATGGAAATGTTCAAATATATAATCTACCAGCAAACACTATGAAATGGCAGAAATCACTAATAGAAGTTTTTAATGGCTAGTGGGCTGGAGGGGGGGGGACATTTGTCAAAATTCGGCAGCTGCAGGACCATAATTGAAAAGACTTTCTCCAAATAAAGTTTTGTTAATGGTGAGCAGGAAAACTGGGCCTGTGGTGCTAATCTTAAGGCACAGAGAGGTCAAGCGCAAAGGCAATCTTTAACTTGGTCCTAGGATTTTGAAAGCCAACAACAAATTGGTTTGGCAACAGCAAATTGGTGAGGTTTACAGTTGTGATATGGACAGCTATTGTTATATCGATATAACAATAAAGAAATAAACAGATAACCAGGATAGTTAATGTAGGATTAGTATAATGGGTTATAGTCATCAGACCAATTGTCTTATTCATCCAGGATGCAATGTCTTTATTTTCAACTCATTCGAGGTTTTGATTAAAGTCTGAGGTTGAGTAAAGAATGGGGAATATAATGAATTTGAGATTTATTGGTGAACAAGTGATCACACATACCACTTTGGAGTATTATTTATTTGTTGCATAGATCTGGTTCTTTGGGCTGAATTCCTTCTGCAGGTTAAAGCAATATTTGACATCCTGCTGATTTCAGTGGGGCTTCTTCATGCTCCCAATGAACTATTGTAGTATTGAAGCTCATATTCTATCCTGAAGGCTAAGTGGATATGAAAAGATAATGGTAGCAGCAGAAAGAAGAAACAGAGATTTACAGTTATGAAAACTGTTCTGTTCTTTCCTTTCTCAAATGCAGTACATGAATCATTATGAAGTCCCAGGAAAAATACAAGCTCTTGGAAGCATGATCCTTCACTTCTTAATATTTGGTTTTCATTAATGCTTTCAGTGGTGTCTCCTTGATCCACTCTTAGATTAGAAATGCATAATATTCTGTCCTCTTGAGCTTACGGATGCTCTTTATTGCAGTATTTCCTTTTAGTAACTTAGTCCACATGTTGGATATCCTCTGTTTTAAGCCGCTCGGTCTCAACTCACTTTGTGTTCCCAATTTCCCTAATTTTAGAGTTACATCTGTTAATGCTTGGCCCTATATACTCATGTTTTTTTTTCTTTCTGTTTTCCATCGAATCATGGAAATTGCAGATGGAGAAATACCAATAAGTCACACTGATTCCATCTAGCCTTAAGACAATTTTCCCTTTCTTCACTTGTTTCTTGTTCCCTATTCCTTTACTCATATATGTGAGCCTTGTCTGCATTTAATCACAAGCCTTTGTTCCTTTGCCTTTGCCACATTTTTATTTCCATTCTAAATCAACCAAGTTTCAGAGATGACCATTGTATCCATCATCTCGGGAAAAGAAATATGATTAAAGTTAAGAAATAATTCCCCTAACATTTTCAGATGTTTATTGTGATATTGTCCTGCCCTTTGGCTCTGGTAGCAGTAAGCGTTGCTGGTTTATGTTTCTTACACTTTCAGTCACTTCTGGTCACTGTAAATATTCTTCTTGCCTGCTATTAGTTATTGCACCTACATAAAGCCTTCACATATAGAGAGCCAGTTTGGTGTAGTGGTTAAGGCACCAGGCTAGAACTTTCCCTTCAAGTTTCAGACATTCAGGAATCAAGAGAGGTTTTCCCCCCTTCTGCTCCCCTGCCCTTTATAAATCTCTGACAAGAAGCAAGAGACTAAGAAATATTCATTTGGACATCACAATCAAAGTAGGAACTAATGTCAGAATGGCTCCATGTTATTTGGGTTGTTGCAATGCTTCTTGACAGGAATAAAGATTTGTGGACCAAGAATGCCCAGAACGTTGAAAGACATTTCTGTTAGGATCCTGTACTGTACTGTAAATGATGAAACAAATAAAAGTGTGTACGGGGGAGAGAATTTCAACACGTTACATCTTGTCTTCCTGCTTTGTCACCGTAGGATGAGAAATTGGGTCTTCCACTATTCCTGAAGTCAAAGGAGAGAACCTGCTCTTTGTTGAATCCGATTGCTGCAAATTAATCTGTTTTGTGAAAATTTCATTTTTGTAAAATAGAAACATGGCTATCAGGACTCATGTAAGTGAACCCCTTTGAAAGTTCATTTGTCTACAAGAGATTCAGGGGCATCTGTGGGGGAGATGGAGTAAAATGTCGGCAGCTGCGACTGCATGATCAAAGTCCTGACCCTTTTATACTTGCCTTAAACTGTGTGATTATAGTTGCAATTTTGACTTTTTTGCTCCTACTATGGACACGTCTGAAGAGACATAAAGATTTGGGCCTAAAAATCTTGTAATTCAGACTGATATTGGTCCAATGAGCAAAAATCAGCCTGAGGCTTGAATTACAAATTCAACAAAGCCACGTGGTATGGTTTTCTTTGGGATTCCACTGGTTTAGAAAGAAAATGGGAATCACTTGGTTGAAGATTGCTGAGGAATTAAAAGAACTAAATCTGGTGCTGAAAGATCATTTTTATGGCTACCACGAAGTATGTCTTGGAACAGCCCTTCATGAACAATGGCAGGGGCCCCATAAAAAAGGACCTTCTGATTCCCTTACCCATTTCAGGGTAAGAGAACAATTGGGAACAACCTTTGCATTTCTCTAGTTGCAAGAGGGTGATGTAGGGCCTCAAAAGTCAAAGTATTAAATTGTACTCAGAGATGGTTTTGGAACCACTGCTGGTTCCTTCAAATAAAGATGATATGAAATCTCTGCTCTCACAACTTTTGAAAATATTGTTTACCTTATGAAGGAGGCTTATGGACAAAAGAAAGAGTTATGTGGAGTTATGAAGTTAGAGTTTTGACTGGGAAAAGATGATGAGATCACATGGGATTCCTGTATTATATCTGCTGCGATACTGCTGATTTATTTCTTAATGCAATTCAAGGTGCTGGCTATTGCCTCTACAAACTCTCCATGTGAACCTGCACATTTTTTCCAGTCAGCTCTGCACATATGCATACAGATATTATTTTAGGATAACTTCATCACTATTTGTGAGCATCATTAATATTGTAAATAATAAATGTGATATATACATATATACAGATATTAATATGCATTCAATGAGACAGCGTAATCTGGTTGACTTTTTCCTTGTTTCTTGGTTGTAGATATATTGACAGTACATTACTTGGTGGGAGAAGGGCAAGGTGAATTTACTGTTATAACCAGATGAAATATTCCACCTAACCAAGTATTTCTGAAATATGAGGAATATTTCTTTCCTGTCCTTTTAGTTTTTTTTTTTCTGTTTGAAGGTTTTCAAGAAAAATGAATATTGTTGAAAAAAAACCCACAATATTTCTGCTAACAAGAAAATAAAGTGTGATCCTCTAAATGTTAGCTGTTAAACTGATGATCCTTGTTTTTCTTCTTTCAGATAACAGTAATGTTAAAGGACAACTATGTACTATCTAAGATGGTAAGAATTACAAATGAACATGCTGAGACCTTGCAGTTGAATTTTTTGTTGGAAAGAGTTGCAGTGGCACTTGAAGAATGTTAAAAGTAAAAATATTAATAATATTAATTGTCCAATATAGTAAAAATTAAGGTGACCTTTGCTATAATATAGTGCTAGATCTATAAAACTGTGAGCAAAAGATAAATATTTATTGTGGGGCTGAATGAAAATTCTCCCCCTCTTTGTGTTTCCAGTTTCAGGCCATGATCATGGAAGGCATTTCAGCTATTCCAGAGACATCATCAACTTTTGCTGAGGTGCAACATTCCCATTTATTTCTTTTAGCTTCTTGTCTATTCTGAATGCCATTTTGACTTCTCCGAATTCCCTACAGTTTCTGATGCAGCCTCTGAATGTTCACTTTGGAACAATCCAGCCTACTTCCTTTGCACAGAAAGTCAGTTGTGTATATAAATGACAAGACAGAACCAGCTGGAAAACAAATGAGAGGAGAGGGGCAATAGAGGCGAAGGAAGACAATGAGTGAAGATTTGAGTGAAGGTCTCAGTCTTTAGCTTGTTGCTAAGAAAGCCTTGCCAGCAGCCATTCGTTGATGTACCTGAGTACCAGAACTCCTACCAAAGACCATGCTCTTAATACCTGGTGAAAACTGTAAGGGGAAAGCTAACACCTGCTAGCGTTACACCTGGCTGGCTCAGCGTCTGCTTATCAGCCGCCTGCTTTTTATAGGTAGAGTATTAAATAAAACACACAAAACTTTGTGTTTCCTTTGACTTTGTATTGGGAAGTATTTCTGGATTTCCCAGCTCTTTCTGACAGAAGGGTGTGAAAGCTTGGCTGGATGACATAAGCCAAATTTTCCATGCAGGGCTTTAAGGAAAAAAAAAAATAAACGTATAAAGCCAGCTCTTACATGCAAATACCAACAGGCTGCTAAGCCATTATTTGCATAAAAATAAAGGCTGATCGTCTCTTTTCTCCTTGGGAGAAAGAAAAATAGGCCCAATTTAAAAACAGATGGCTTATAAAACAATTCAAAGAAATTGGGTAAAGTCACTTAAGAAACCTTCATCTGTCATGAGAAACACTATTGCGCACTGCTTGCAAAATTCATTGAACGAGGCACAAAAGCCTGAAAACAAGCAACAGCTTGGAGAGGCTGGGCTATTTGGAGAGGAGGAATCAATGGGGTGTGGGTCTTTTCATTACTGTAAGGAGCAGCCACAGCTGATTGCTGATGCCATGTGGTGGCTGGCTGTTCGGGGCCCTGCCTGCGGAGGCCTGAGAAGGAAAACTTCCCTGAGGTTTTGGGGGGCATCACATTTGGCTTCTGTCTGATATGTCCCTAAAATGCCCCCCAAAAGCACCTCCAGGAAGAGAAAATAAGCAAGGTGTAAACGAATAACCAAATATCCTTTTTTTTAAAAAAAAATTGTATCGGATATTTTTTCATGCTGGAACTGATGTGGATATCCTGTAGACCAGTCAACAAAATTGGGCTTCATAAGGAATGCCTCGGGAAAAATATACCGGACCAAAGCAATGTATTGTGTCTTAGGGGAAACTACTGAATCGAGGCGTGGGGTTGGACTGAGGATAATGATGACATAAAGTTTGAATATTAATTTAATACTTCCAGAAAAGTAACGTAACTCTTATTCAAATTAGTTTATTTAATCATGGCATTTCTCTCTTGTTTAATTATGTTTTGTTTTTATACTGAAGGATAAGACTGTCAGTAGTTACTAGTCATGATCTGTAAGATAACGGTGTAAATCCTGCCGTCTTAAAGGCACAAGCAGCCTTAAAGGCATTGGGTATGTTCCTTAAGCTCCTTCAATTTGACAAAGGAGTAAAATTATTAATTATAGGATTGAAGAGCAATTGCATTAATGAAATTTAATTTAAATGAAATGTAAATAAAATCCAATGAAATCAGTTTTAGTTTTTGTCCATATCCAACTCACTTGTTTAAGGAATACAAGTAGTCCTCACTTAATGACTACAATTAGGGCCAGCAAGCCTGTCGCTAAGTGACACAGTCATTAAACGAGACACGTGACTGCGACAGGCTTACGACCTCACTTCTGCCATAGTTGTTGAGCGAATCACCATGGGTCGTTAAGCAAGACATCACATGACCACAACTTGTGATTTTACTGCCAGCTTCTCCATTGATTCTGCTTGTCGGAAGCTGGCTGTGAAGTTCACAAATGGCAATTGTGTGACTGCAGGATGCTGTGATGGTCGTAAATGCCTGTCAGTTGCAAAGTGCCTGAATATCAATCATGTGACCACAGGGATGCTGTGATGGTTGTAAATGTGAGGACCTGTCGTAAAATTACTTTTTCAGTGCCATCATAACTTTATTGTAACAGTCGCTAAACAGGGCAGTCATTAAGCGAGGACTACCTGCATGGCCTTGGCAATCTAGTCAAAGGCCAAATAGGGTTCTTGGTCCAGGAAATATGAGTATGAGAACAAATCTCTTCCACTTACACATCTGGATGCTCATGGTTTAATCAGTCTGTGAATCTGCAAGAGGAAAACCTATATGAATTGAGGCTCTTGCACATAGGTGAGAAGAATTTGGGCCTTTGCTTCTACTACAATCCCAAACCAGATAGGAGCCTTCAGTTTGGCTCCTTTCACATTATACAAATGGCAGACACAGTGGAAGGTTGGCAATGTGATCACAACTATAAAATGAGGAATGAAAGCTTAAAGCTCCCTAGAGTCCACATTAGCATCACAGTCTGGATGCTGCAAAACCCTTGGAAGAAGGTGATGGCAAATCACTGTCATTCTTTTACCAAGAAAATTGTGTGAATGTATCTATTTAGTTACTAAGAGTTGTGCTCAGCTTGTGAGAATCTTTACTTTTTTAGGGAGGGGGCGGTGGAATAATATAAACTAATATGCTACTTGATTTTCAGTGACACTCAGATTTCCTGGAAATTTCTCTCCCAGCTTATAAATTGAAACTATGCTGCTGTGTCTAGAAGTTTCCTTAGACAGAAGAACTTTGCATTGAAATGTTGAGCAGTGAGTTCTATGACTCCTCTCTTCTTCCTTCAAACTTGTCCAAACGAATCACCATCCCACGCAAGAGCATTTACTATGACAGTTTCAAGAAAGTATCAAAAGAAAGAAATCTCTTTCATATGCAGCCTCCTCTTGCCATGCCTATTTCTAAACTCTATTCCTCTTCCTCCTCCTGTGAAATTTACTGAGATTAATTTATGGTCTGTGGAGACCATGTGATCCTATACCTTCTCCAATGAAAGGGGTCACATCCCCACCAAAAGGAAAACCAAGGAGGATAGATATTTGCATATGCTAATTTAGACTTTTACGATACTTTAAATAGGAATACAGAGAAGACTGTGACATACAGGCAGCCCCTGCACGGTCTAATCTGTTGTCTGAATGCTCATTAGTGTTAGTTTCTGGAGTTCAACTTCAAATAGAGGACATCCTCATACAGAAGTCTTTTGAAAGTTCTTCAGATCAATATGAAACCTGTCCTCTAATTTCTTGAAAGATTTCCTCCTTGCAAACTTGGCTTTCTCTCTCCCCCCCTCTCTTTCTACTTCTTTTTTGGTTGTTTGACAATGTATTTCAATCATTTTTGTTGAGTTTTTAGCTTGATTTTAATTGTTATCTGGTAATGGCATTGCCCTTGTTCTGTTACACATTTCTCCACCCCTTTGCAACTTCCCTGGCTGCTTCTGCTTCCTGATCTAAAAGAAAGCACCATAATTAAGAAGCATTCCCTCATTATTTCTTCACTTGAAATTTAGCAGGGAGTAGGAATTAGGGAGGCTGCAGAATGATGGCACCAGAATGATGGCACCACAGGACTCTACTTCCTTATTAAGGTAATTGCAGGAACTCTGCATCCTGCTTGTGAGAATTTCAAAAATAATTTCTTTTCCATGAGATTGAAGAACAAGGTTGAACCAAATAAAGAAGAAATGTTCTAGCACAGGACTATTTTAGACAGTGGATTATCCTCAGCAAAGTTGGATATCTGATCCCACGAACAACGTTGCTTTACATGGCATATAGGCTATGTTTGTTTTATGGTCACAATGAAGCTACTAATGGCATAAGTTTGATATTTTAATGGAGGCAGTTCTTATCCTGCTCTTCTTTAGCCTTAGAATGCATGTTTGTTCTCATAGTTATGGGACAAGTTCTCATTTTGTGTAAGGTATGTCATTCCCTTTATTTTTTTGAGATTGCTTCAGCACAACCTTAGCATTCATCAGTGATTTCCTCTCAAAATGATGGAAATGGAAACACCAACAATTCTTAGCTAATAATAGAAATAACATTGTTTTAAGAGTTCCAATTTTAAAAGAAATGTATTAATAGGTTTTTCATCTGTGTCAGTGTTTTTATTTCAAAGGCTCTGCTTTATTGTTTAATGTACTGTATGACTCACAGGGAAAATATTAATCTTTTCAAAATCTTGAGGATTAGAATGGAATCATGTATCTGTGCAAAATCTTCCAAAGCCAAACCTGAAACACATTTGGGACATAATTTTATGGGCAGTTGGAAATAAAGCTTTGAATAGAACGTTTCTGCATAAAAAGGCATATAAATCCAGGTTGTAAATTCCAAGCCAAATAATTAACTATTCTTTCTATTTTGTGACTTGTTAGTACACAATGCAAAAACCAAGAAATGAAAGTGAAAATTTGGTAGCAACTGTGAAAGGCCTGTCCCATAGAGTGCTAGACACAGTCAAAATTGTATCCAGTGCAATGAGATCTTCCTACAAATGTTCTTCCATGGCTTTAAACTGTGAAGGCATGCAGAGAAGATGGAAAAGAAAGAAGGGAATGGTAATGGTGTGTGTGTGTGTGCATGTGTGTATGTGTGAGCATGTGTGTAGAAGAGATTATTGCTGAATCTAAATCCAAACTTCACAAAGCGAGATGGCCAATTACTTTTCAGTGTTTTCCAGGGGAAAGCTGTCAAACAGACGAACTGGCCTGTGTCTGGAGATCTACTATTAATCACAGCTCAAAAGCCCAGCAGGATTTCCTTCTTTTTTAAAAAAAATCACTGCCTAGTTTAATGCTGTTCTCTGCTCATGCTGAATGAATATAATGTAGTTATACAAGTCCAGTTAGAAGGCATGAGGACACAACCTTGCCCTTTTCACTCCTTCCCTGAGAGAGATTATTATTGATGATACTGTCCAATTTTTTTGTTCATACTGATAGGTTTTTCAGTGGGTTGTAGCTGCTCATAACTCCTCCTCTGACACCAAATCCAGCATCAACTTGATATATGAAATAAAGATGTAGATATTTCAGTAGAAGTAAGATTTGCTGTATTGGGAAATTTTTTCATGAAAAGCAACAGAGGGAGGGAGGGAGGGAGGGAAGGAAGGAAGGAAGGAAGGAAGGAAGGAAGGAAGGAAGGAAGGAAGGAAGGATTATCCACTCCAGACATAAAAGCTTCCACATTATTATCTGTTAAGCCATGGTTGATAATCCAGGCTTGTAGCTGGGAATTTAAATCAGATAATCCTAGGAGTCCTGGAGACAGGTCCATGAGCAAGGCAGGAAGGAAGGGAGAAGGATAAATATGCAGTCCTTGGTTTGATAAACCATTATTATTGTTCTTCAATGAGGCTGAAATGTCACATCTTGACATTCTTCAATTACTATCCCAAATGCCCATACATCTATCTAGCAAGATAAAATTATTGCCCTTACACTGACCCGTCTGCCTGGGGTGGTTTGGGGGGATGGGCAATCTCTGAATGTAGCTAGAATTGGCTGGTGTGGGTCTTCCGGGCTGTGTGGCCGTGGTCTTGAAGTCTTGTTTCCTAAC